ACTGTTTATATCAATGAAAAAATTATCAATTACAGTGCATGAGGAGATGCCAACTCTAGTGGGGAATGTTACAATACTAGTAAGATTATATGATTGTAGGACAGCATCAAGTTGCTTCTTTCTGTTATCATCATTTAAATAATTTACATTTATATCACCACATATAATTATATTGTATCTCTCATGATATAATTTCTGTAGAATCATATCTAATCTTTCCAGGAAATTTGTAAAATTACCCATAGGAGATCTGTAAATAGTTAGTATACAATTTTTTTTTGTTCCTGGTAAGTTCTTAGTCAGCTGAATTGCACACGCTTCGATGTCCTTGTCTACAGTAAATTCTTCTAAATTTATGGTCTTAAATTTTAAATTTCTATATACAAATATACTTACACCTCCTTTTTGAAAAAATTTCCTACAATATTTAGCACCTAATGAGTAGTCATTTAAATGTATCAGTTGAAGTTCTGGATCTCCAAGATGATGTTCAGCACAGGCTATTGATTTCTAGTGTTTTACTGAGGCTGTCACAGTTTGTATCGGTAACTTGAAAACTGATGGACATATTAGCTTCAAACTTGACAGAAGATGACAAGGAGATGACTGCCTTCTGGGTTGTGTCATATAGTCTGATAATGTTTTCTGACATTTCAGAGGTTCATTGCCTAATTGATGTAGGCAGCAAGAACCTCTGAAACATCATGAAACGTCTATCAGATTACACCGTGCAACAATCCAGAAGACAGTCATGTTCATACTCGCTGCTTTTGTGAGAAACTGAAGTATCATCAAACACAGGATAAGTCCATTAATGGATTGTGATACAATCTGTGGTTGAGGTGGGCCTCTTGCATCATGTTTTTGTACCTTGGTAGTGAGAATTAGCATCTGATAGTGTACATATCTCCCTTTTCATTGCACTGTACATTGACAACGAACAACCTGTTGGGTAGTCTGTGTCTGGGATCAGGTTTCATTCCATGTTTATCAATAGTCTCAGCAATCTTGAAGTTAAATGTGCTGAAGAAATGTACAGTTTGGGGAAGTAATGTAGGCTGAGGTGCACACATGGTAAGGGAACCCTTGTTTTAGGCAGAGGAGAATAGTGAGTACACTGTCACTCTACATTTGTGATTATTTGGATGATTGAGACATATGTAGACTTATTGGTGGAACCGGTGGATTTGGGTCACCGCAAATACATGAACTAGGCCCCCTTTCAGTCTTCATTTGGAAGTATACAAAATTTACAAACAACAACTCTCACTCCTAATAAGATACAGAACATTTTGCAGGCTTGTGAGTTACCGCATCTTCCTTTTCTCACTGAATTCATTGATTATATTCTCTAACTGCAGTTTTGTTAAGTTTCTTATCGTATCATTTACAGACAGACATTACATCCTATTTGCCCTATTTTAATGATTTCCAGTTCTCACTGTAACGTAAAATGTTGTGTGATGGCGTTAAGTTCCTGGTTGTTGTCAAGGTCAAATGTAACATGCTGTGAGTGTGGTTCAGGTTTGTCATAGGGATGACTGTTCCACAGTAGATTTGCACCGAGGACAAGCAACATGCAATAGTGTGTGTTTTGGTGTCTGAATGAATTGAAGGATCAGAGATCCAATAAGAATTAATTGGCTGCCAGTTAACACTTGCCACTATGTCAATGGCAACAATGTATGAGTGGATTGAAATTGTTTAAAAATAGCTGATCCAGCTTCTTGATGCAGACAGGTAAGGATCCCCATACACATCCATAAATTAACAAAACAATGTGAAGCCGTGCTTCATGGAAACTGTTAGGTAACCGTTATGGAAATTTCTGCGAGATGCCCTTGGTGCAAACATGTAGTGTATCATCTATATGCCACACTCAGTCAGTACAATTTGACTACAACTGAACTGCACTTGGAACATGTGTCTGACCTTAAGCTACAGTATGACCAGATTTAAGCAGTGTTGCCAATCTTGAAACATAAATATTCCCATATTACCCATGTATTTTTAATTCCCTTCATAGGACATATTTATGGTTGAATGAATTAAAAAATGCTAAATGAGAATTATGCTGACTAAGTTTTTGTAATTTAATGATGGCAGCAAGGACACAGGAGAGGACAACAGTAGATCCTTGTGACAACTCTAATGATTCTGGACTTGGATTTGACCATCACCTGGAGTTCCAGCAAGCAGCCAGGTCAACTGTGAGATTTGCAGACCAGGAGGTGTGTAAATTCACCCAGTGAGCCCTTTGTTTCGTGTGCTATATTGCTGTGCTGCATAGCATTCCATTCAGAAACATTATCGCTGGCCATTAGTCCAAATCCATACTTTGTACATAAATCTCTCTAAGATGTCAAAACAGTTTCCTGTAAACACGCTTAAAATTGCAATGATTATCCTAAATCTCTTCTCCAGTGAACTAATCAGCAGATGAAGTGTATGATGTCTGGTACAGAAACTTTAAATAAAGAATTTCCTAACATGTGTCACAGAACAAGTATGTTTTAATTCGAGTTTTCTCTTATGAAATTTTAAGAGATTGGGATGTCCATGAGAATTATAGTCCTGTGAATCTCTTTAACTCATTGACCCACTATTTTATTCTTTTATTTCCTCAGTAGAAGAACTATTTATTTTAACAAAAATTATCAAATTACCTGAAATAAAAACAATGTATTTTTGTTTCATGCAATTTAAAGCTCGTTTTACATTTATTGTAAATGAGTGAACTTCATAGAAACACCTTTAATGACTTCTTCATACTGAGAGAAATAATCAAAGCTAGTGATATGCTGTCAATGGGTTAATTTTAAAACAGGCACAGTAATGTAAGCACACAGACCTCTGTACAGTGGCCGCAACATAACTCTGAGCCTGGATGTCCATTAGTGATACACCCATGGGAGAGAGGAAGGACCATGAAGCGATAGCACATGTGGGGAGCTAACCCACTCGTTTCTTGTATACCGTGGGATGTGAAATTAAAACATTTTGGGCTGTAGGAATAGTGCATGCAGTTAAGGCGTGTGCCTGCATTGTTTTGTACGTCTTTTTTATTTTCACAAAATTCAGTTTAAGGTTGCAATCAGTGCATGAAAATACCACTTATTGTGTCAAAATTAAAAGGGGAAAATTTTTGTAGTAACAATGTACATGCACAGATAGTCTATTTGTCATGTTGCTCCCCTTTTCCCTTTCTGTCTTCCCTTCTCCTCTTTCAGTGATGTCATTGAAGCTTGCAGTTATGTTGTGACCACTTAGTTTGAAATTAAATTATGACTGCTGTTGCAGAAACTGTTTTAGGAACTGAAATGTGGAAGCTGTTAATCTGAAGAGTTAACATTATTTATACTCTCTTAATATTGTTTGTACAGTTACACGCTGTATAGTTGGCTTTTTAATAATTTATTTATACCATACAGCTCCCACACTTCCTGAGTGTGAATCTCGTTTGCAAAACACAGATGGCCATAAAACTCTGTTTAAAATATGATAGTGAAGGTTGTTAACTTGTTCCTGACTTGTACATAATTTCAGTAAACCTTAAAAACTATCTTTAATCTGAGACCAACCAAGTACTGGGTTAGATATGAAGCCCATTTGTACAAATTCATTATTTTTACATGGAGAATGAAGATACAAGAAGACCTTTGATTTCAGGGGAAAGAAGAATATTAGTGCCAAAAGTTGCTTGTTTGCATTTTTGTACTTTTTCAGATTAATTTTGAAATGCCATTTGGAAATATGTATTATGTGTAAATTTTAGAACTGTTTTGTTTAAAGTGATGTTTAAGGGACGCACATTTTTGGACTTCTAATTGTCAGAGTGCAAATTGTAGGGATTGTACTGTGCGTGAGAATATTGTGTTTTGTAGGGACCCAGGATTTTATTTTTATTTGGAAGTTTTCAATATAATGAGCTTTAAAAGGTAGAGGCAGATGAAGAGATAAATACACCGTGTTTCAAAAGTAACTTTGCAGGAGAATATAAATTTATTTAAAGGACGTGCGCAATATTTTTAAATGCACAAATTTAGCCATACACATCAAGTTTCATGCACATAAACTGCAGTACCGGAAACCGCCACCGCGGAAATGTTGCGGCGGGTTGAAGACGACGAAGGATTTCTGGACTCAGTAATTTTCAGTGACGAAAGCACGTTCCATGTCACTGGTAAGGCCAACACCCACAACTGCAGGATTTGGGGTAGTGAAAAATCCACGTGCCTTCCTGGAACATGTTCGCGACAGTACAAAAGTTAATGTGTTTTGCGCCCTCAGCAAAGATAAAGTGTACCGGCCCCTTCTTTTTCATGTAGAAGACCATTACCGGCATTGTGTATCTGGACATGCTCCAACAGTTCCACATTCCTCAACTTGACGAAGATGACCAGGAAGGACGCATTCACTTCCAGCTAGACGGTGCACCCCCTCATTACCTCGGAGAAGTGCACGAGTACCTCAACAACCGTTTCCCAGGTCGGTGGATTGGTCGGGCCGCACCAATAGCATGGCCACCTCGTTCCCCGGATCTAACACCTTTAGATTTTTTCTTGTGGGGATTCGTTAAAGATCGAGTGTACGTGCCACCCTTACCTGCAAATGTGGCCGAACTCCGAACTCGAATTACCGCGAATTACCGCCACAGTTGCTGAAGTGACACCGGAGATGCTACACCGCGTGTGGCAAGATATTGACTACAGATGGGACGTCTGCCGCATAACAAATGGAAGTCACATTGAACCATAAAAATCCGATGGACATAAAACTTGAAGTGTTTGACTACATTTCTATGTTCTGAAATTATATGTTTCTCCTGTCAGTTCACCAACATCTTACCCTCAAGTTGTGAAGCTACTTTTGAAACATGCTGTATAACAAGTAAATAATCTATGATGATTATGATGTCAAAAATCTAACGTGAAAATAGGTTGCTTTCATGTTTGTTATTGATGGGATCTGGTAGTATGAATCCAATATATGAAAAGCAAAGGCGACTGTGTTTGTCATTGGTTGGCTGTGTAGAGCGTGTAATACCTCAGTGACATTTCTTGTAATTTGCTTACTTTCCTCCATGCAAATACGTGTGTGTACATTTGAACAAAATTGTTTCTGTATTTCCTCATTGGCAGTTGAATATTTGGTCTGTAAGCCAAAACAGATTTTGCTGGTCAACTCCTGTTATATCAGTATAATGTGAGTTGCGTTTTTAAAATGATTTTGCCTTAATGAAAATTAAAGAAAATTGTTTCCCACATTTTCTTTTGTTTACTGGACACTGGCTACCAGGGATCAATTCCTGGAAATAGCAAAAAATGTTTATTTACTGCCATACCAGGGTCTTCTCTGAGGTCCACCCAGCTTCTCTGCTGTATGACTCTTTAACAGGAGGTACATGGCTGAAGCATGTTGAACATAACCTCTGTTTAGTGCCTAAGTTAAGAATGTATGCAGATTTACATGTTTTCCCCTATCTACCTTCATTGCAGGTTACTTAAGCTCAGTGATAGATTTGTAACAGTATTCAATAACAGTAGACTCAGATAACATTAATTGTTGATAAAACACAGGATTCTGTTATTCAGAAGTAAGATGTCAGCATGCCTGTGTATTCATCTACTGGATATGTAAGCAACTTTTTTTCCTCCCGGTGCCCCGGTTTTTTTTTAATTAGTAAAGAAACAAATCAAGTTTTAAATAAAAGAGTAGCCAGTTTTAATTTTCAAGATTAGTGGTGCTTTTTGTTAAATGATGCTGTTATAGATCACATAGTCTTTCACTTTGTCTGATTCTGGAAGGAAGAAGCATAAGACAGGTATGAGGTGTAGCTATGCCTGTGAATTTATATAAATTTCTACCATTTTACCATAAAATTATGACCTTTTGGGTCAAAAATAACTGCTTCTGATCATTATTATAGCTTTATAAGTCAGGGTACTATATTAGGAGGAATCTTTATTCTACATCAGATACTTTGTCATTGAATTGGGATGTGTTGTGGTTTCAGCTTGGCATGCAGACACTCTATATTATTGCATGGCTGGATGGCAAAGCTTTATAAAATTTTGTAAGCCTTTACTTATTGAACTTTATGCGCTGTTCAGGACAGTGGTCGGATTCTTGGTTTTTATCTTCTAATTTGTGTGTACAGTGTTTTTGATACACAACTATTTCTCTGGCCTTTATCCTCAGGGTTCCTGGGTAAACGAGCATTCTGAAGTAAAGCGCAAGAAGTTGGAGATCAAACTGGAATCTGATGATGCAAATGACAATTTTACTTTCCCAGAAACAATGAGCAGAAGAGACAAGAAAGGTGAAGAAACAGAAAGGTTTGTTTCACATAAACACAGTCTTAATTGTTGTGAAAATTTAAATGGGAGCATGCCCTCCATGTATAACACTTTTACTGCACAGGATGATGCATTGCCTTAAAATTAAAATTCTTGTCTTTTAATTTAATTTAATTTGAAATTAACATCATTATTATAGTAATTTTCAGCACACTGCATAATGTCTCAATTTCTTGAATAAAGTAGCTGTGATAGGTTTTTGAAGTGGCTATATTATAAGTTCAAATCATCTGTGGAGCATATATAGATAATGTTTTGGTGACTTTTATACTCTGAAAATTTCTGAGAATTAAGTGACTAAATTGGTTTAAATGTCACGTGACATGTTTGGCGCTTTGTGTGTGTTAAAATTGGGTATAAATTAAATTATTTACTGAAGAATGAGCTGTGACAGAAGTGGAATGAACGGCTGTGATTGATACTGATGGAACCAATGGGAAAGTTTCTCAACACCACGTTCAGAACAACCCTAGTGTCTACAGAAATTCCTTTTTATAGAATATTAAGCTATTTTCCTCTCGAACTGTGGGTTACCAAGCACATGAAGTTGACTCATGCATCCACAGACAGCCAAAGTCAGGAATGCTTGAAGTGTTACATCCATGCCCCTTATTTGTGTTCATGGTAAGGTAACTACTTAGAAGTGTGTTTTGTCATAGCAGTTTATTAGCTCCACACATAGAAACCTACTAATCACTAATAGATACATATATTTATTCTTCAAGTCTATACACAAACCATTTTAATATTGATGTTTAAAATTAAAATTGATATAAATAATTCGCGCTATTCATCGTTTTTCTCGATGTTACAATTTGCGCTATATATTACAACATGTTTCGATGTCTC